ACACTAAAATTTCATCTACATATCATCTTATTTAACTAACATGCTATAAAATTCAAAAGTCTATAATTATTCATTGTTATCTAAAAATAATTTGATCTAATCCCGATTTGACATCATAAATATCTTGATTTTATCTCTATAATCGAATACTCTATATTTGATTCCATCTATAAATCTCACACATGGGAAGTGGGAACCCAATTCTTGAGGCCCCAAATTCCACAACTCAAAGAATTTGTCTTCGAAGCCTACAAATTAAGCAAATGGCAAGAAGCCCCTTTTATAAATAGCCCAAAAACCTCATTCATTTTACTGCATTCACCAACAGATTAAAAACAAAACAGAGTTTTTCAGATCCTCCATGGCAGAAGTGATCCTCCATGTTTACGACATAACCAAAAGTGATGGGCACGACGCAGTCAATTTCGGTGTAGTCCAAATGAACAGGCTACTCAAAGACACCATCTATTTCGGCGGCATCTTCCACATTGCACTACCAAAAACCCCAATTACACGCATCGCGAAAAGATTGTATTGGGCAGAACAGAGTGCTCTGCCCACAAAGTCAATCAGATCTTAAAAGATCTTCGCGATGCATGGCCAGGTAACAAATACAATATGGTCTCAAGGAACTCAAAGCATTTCTGTGACGAGTTCCTTGAGAAATTAGGCGTCCCAAAACTACCGAATTGGGCTAACAGATTTGCTAACATTGGTGATATTGCAAAGGAAGCAGCAGGGACAGTAGTTAAAGCTAAAGATAAAGCGTCTAAACTTGTGTTTCATCCGGTTGATTTTGCTTCCAACCTGACCACTGTTAATAAAAACTCTAAAGCAATATATAGCCCTAGTGAGTTTAGGTTCCGCTTTGATTTTGCTGTTAAGAATTTTAAGGTCGCTGCACCGGTTATCCGCTCCGATCGATGATAAGCCATGTGTACGATTCATGCTCAATCAATTAACACTACCATAAGAAAAAGAAGAATCTAAGATGTAAACCTTGTAGTTTTCTAAGTTTGGTTTGTCTCAAAATAATGTATTTTGTATTTAGCTAAATGTATTAATGGAAGAATGACTGTATTGTAAAATCAAATGCTTACACCCTCACTAGGGGTCTAAGATTGTCCAATCGTCCCATCAAAAATGGATAATTTTGAACTTCGAATGTTCTCTATTACATACATTAAGAACAACATGTCCAACAAAGAAAAAATCAATGGAGAACAAGTTAAAGCAGACATGTCAATGAGAAGAAAAAAAACAGAGAAACAGAAAAAAGTGTATTGGAATCACATGATGAAAGTATGCAAAAAGGTGGTTATGGCAGTTAAGTCTGTTAGCGGTCATAAAGATGGTTAGGCAAGTTGTTAGTTAGTTGTAACCAATTCCATTTCTTAATGTGTGACTTTACAGACTGACATGATTCCTATAAATAGGAAGTGTAAATGAAATCAACGAGTGATCAATTAAAATTCTTCTGCTCTTTCTTCTAGATGCTTCTTCCTTTCACTGTCTCCTTCTTCTTCTTCAATTAGAGTTGCAGAGATCTGCAACAATGGAGCTTAGCTCCATGATTCTATGAAATACAATATGGTATTAGAGCAGTCGAGTCTAGGGCTGAAATAACTTCAATTTTATTTTTCCGCGAAGCAATTTCTCAAATCAGATCTCAACCATGACAGAGCTGACTGTAGCAACACTGGGACATAATCACCCATTGTACTTGCAACCTTCAGACACGCCTGGTGTAGCATGGATTGCAACCAAACTCACAGGACCTGAGAATTATGGTCTTTGGAGCAGATCAATGAGATTAGCACTGTTGGTGAAGAACAAGGTAGGTTTCATAGATGGAACTTGCTTGAAGAGCATGTACAAGGATGAATTGGCAGTCCAGTGGGAAAGATGTGTAGAAACTAGAGAGAATATTGAGAAATTTTCCTTATCTTCCTTCATTGTAAGGCAACGTATATATACAACTATTTTGTGCAGAGAAAGAAAATAACAAAACTAAGGAAAAGAGTAACAAACTTTACAGCTGGCTAAACATTATTGTTCAAGTAACAACAAAGAATAACTAATTTTGTATTCTGTACAAAGAATCCTATGCAGGTGTAGGGCTAGGATTTATGCCAACACTTTCTGATCCAAAGGATGAAATGGTGCCATCTGTTCTTCTAGAAGATATACATCTTCTAGTCTTCATTTCACTTGAATCAGATTCTACCGCCTCTCTATTCAACTTGGAAATCCCTTGTTCTTTATCAATAATGTTGCTGCTAAATCCAACACCCCCTTTCAAGTTGGAGGGGATCGAAGAGAGACCCAACTTGCAAATACAACGAGCGTGGGAAGGTCCAGACAAGGGTTTAGTAAAGATGTCGGCGAGCTGAGAAGATGAAGGGACAAAGTTTAAGGAAATCAAGCCGGCACAAAACTGTTGACGGACAAAGTGACAGTCAAGTTCGACGTGCTTCGTCCGTTCGTGGAAAACAGGGTTGCGGGCGATATGAAGAGCAGCTTGACTGTCAGAATGGATGGGGATAGGTAGGGTAGGTGAGACGGAAAAATCGGTGAGAAGACGGTGAAGCCAGGTCAATTCGGCGACAAGTCGTCGCATTGAGCGGTATTCCGCTTCGGCGGAGGACAAAGAGACAGAGATCTGCTTTTTAGACTTCCAGGAGATGGGAGAACCGCCAATGCTTATGAAGAAACCACTTATAGACCGACGAGTGTCAACACATGATGCCCAATCGGCATCACAAAAAGCGAGGAGAGAAAAGGAAGGAGCTGAAGAAAAGAACAGACCTTGGGCAGGGGATCGACGGAGATAGCGAACAACACGAAGAGCAGCAGTGAAATGGGGAAGACGAGGGTGCTGCATAAATTGGGAAAGATGTTGAACAGCAAAGCAAAGGTCTGGGCGAGTATGAGTCAAATAATTCAGTTTACCCACAAGTCGGCGATAAGTAAATGGGTCAGCAATGGGTTCACCAGAATCAGAAGAAAGCTTACAAGAAGGATCCAAAGGAGAAGAAGCCTCTGGGAGGTGGTCACAGTCATACTCAGAGAGCAAATCAAGAGCAAACTTTCGTTGACAGAGGATGATACCTTGAGGTTCCCGAATAACTTCTAAACCAAGGAAATAATGTAAGTCTCCTAAATCCTTAATCTTGAATTCCTTATTCAAGAAATGTTTCAACTCAGCAAGTTCGGAAGGATTGTTGCCAGTGAGAATGATGTCGTCGACATAGACGGCAACTAGTGAAATAGAATCTCCCACTTGTTTAAAAAACAGACTATAGTCATTTAAGGAAGAACTGAACCCCTTGAAGTTTAAAGCAGCAGTGAGGCGAGAATACCATTCTCGAGAGGCTTGGCGTAAGCCATAGAGTGATTTGTTGAGCTTGAGAACATGGGTGGGACTAGGACTCTGCATACCAGGAGGGAACTTCATAAACACTTCCTCCTGTAAATTGCCATGCAAAAAGGCATTGTTGACATCCAGTTGAGTCAAAACCCAACCTTTCTTAACAGCAACAGCAAGTAAACACCTGATAGTAGTCATTTTGACAACAGGGGAGTAAGTTTCATTAAAATCTACTCCTTCACGCTGAGTATCCCCTCTAACCACCAAACGAGCTTTGAGTCTTTCCACAGTCCCATCTGAGTGATGCTTAACCTTGTAAACCCACTTACAGGCAAGAGCCCTTTTACCAATAGGAAGTTCAACTATTGTCCAGGTCTGATTAGCCTCTAGGGCATCAAACTCGGATGTCATGGCTTTTTGCCAACCAGGATGTTGAGCTGCCTGAGAGAAACTAAGTGGTTCACTGATGTTAGAAATAGATTCAAGAACCTGTTGATTAAGAATAGAAAGAGCAGAAACATGCAAGGATGATGGAGCAACAGGATCAAGAAAATGTGAAGAGAGATCAGTTAGGACAACAGAATTGCACAAGTAATCCTCTAAATAACTAGGAACTTTGCTGGTTCTAGTTGATCTCCTAGGGGCAGAGGGGAGGATAGATGGTGAGGGGGTGTCAGTTAAAACAGAAACATCAGTAGAAATGATAGGCTCAACATGAGTGGAAGGAGGATTGGAATGAGGAGGAAGAGGCTGAGAAAGGGGGAGAACAGTACCATCAAATGGGTCTGGAGAAAAGGAAGAAGAGGGAAAGAGAGGGGAAGTGGGAGAAGTAGAGGAAAAAGGAAAGATAGACTCATGAAAAGAGACATCTCTAGAGATAAATATCTTTCTGGTAGATAGCTCTAGGAGTTTGTATCCTTTCTTGCCTTGAGGGTAGCCAATGAAAACACAAGAGGTGGCTCGAGGAGCAAACTTGGGCCTATTTTGTGAAGGAGTGGATGCAAAGCATAAACAACCAAAAGTTCTGAGAAAATCATAGGAAGGAGGCTTCCCAAAAATAACATGATATGGTGTCATGCCTTTAAGAACTGAAGAGGGGAATCTATTTATCAAAAAAGTGGCAGTAAGAAGACATTCACCCCAATAGCATATAGGTAACTTAGACTGATGTAAAAGGGCCCTAGATGTTTCCAAAAGATGTCTATGTTTCCTCTCAACAACACCATTTTGTTGAGGTGTTCCAGTGCAAGAGGTTTGGTGAATTATCCCCTGTGAGGTAAGAAACTCAGAGGTTACAGTACCACTCCCCAATTCTAGAGCATTGTCTGATCTAATAACCTTAACTTTGCAGTTGAACTGCCTATCAACTAGAGAAAGAAAATGTTTGAGCATAAAGAAGGCATTACTCTTTGTGGAAAGAAGATAGGTCCAAGTACATCTACTAAAATCATCCACAATAGTGAGAAAATACCTATAACCATCATGAGTAGATGACTTGTAAGGTCCCCAAGTATCTATGTGAATTAGCTCAAACTTATGAGTAGTTTTAAGGGAACTATTGGGAAATGGTAATTTAGATTGTCTAGCTATAGGACAAATATCACAAGGACAATCAACTTTAGGCAAGGAAGAAAAGAAACTCATAGATTTCATTGCAGAGAAGGGTAAATGCCCCAATCTATTGTGCCATAGTCTTACATTAGAACTGAAATTTGAAGAAACTACATTACTAGAAGAAACTGCATTACATTCTGGAATTGTAAGACTAGAAAAGAAACCTAAGCTATTCTTAGAGCTGCATTGAAGAGGAAAGACTGGTGACTGGAGGAGATAGATGCCATTTTTAGCTTGACCAAGAACCTGAGGGGTCTTCACTAAAAGGTCCTGCATAAAACAGTGAGTAGAAGAAAAACTTAGCAGGCAGTGATGTTGTTTGCAAAATCTATTGACAGAAATTAAATTTATTTTGAATGATGGAACAAACAAAACATCATGAATAATCAGCTTGGATGAAAGGGAAGCTGACCCCCCATGAGTAACCTTGACCTTAAAAGAATTAGGAAGACTGATAGTTAAGGGAGCAGGAAGAGGATGAATACTGGAGAAAAATTTGGTGTCATATGACATGTGCTCGGAGGCACCAGAGTCAATGATCCAAGAATCAGTATTCACATAATCAATAGGATTATGAAAAACATTACCAGCACATTGAACCATATTAGCTGCTACTTGTGACATCAACTTCTCTGGGTCTCCAAGATCAGCATGCTTAAGCATCTGAAGTAAGTAATTAAGCTGTTGAGGGGAGAATGGGTTCCCATCTACTTCAGCAAACATAGTGTGCTGAGCAATAGGAGTCCCCAAGACTGCATTGCTTTTGATCCCCACCTTGAATTTTGGACTCTTGGTGAACTGAAAATCAGCAGGAAACCCAATAATCCTGTAGCACTTGTCAATAGAATGACCTGGCTTCTTGCAATGAGGGCAAACCAAGTTGTTCTTCTTGCCCTTGTACTCATAGGATTGAGATTTGGTACCAAGAATTGGCTGCTGGACTGCTGAATATGAGGATAAGTCAGCAGGAGACTGAGGATTGTGGTAGATCTCTTTCTGTTTCTCATCTTGGATCAAGAGAGAATAAGCCAGGTTCACACTAGGTAGTGGAGAAATCATGATGATGTTGCTTCTTATAGATCCATAGCTATCATTCAAACCCATTAGGAATTGAATGAGCCTCTCATCTTGCAGAGATTTCAACCTCTTACTCTTTCCTCCACAAGTGCAGTCACATGCACACATCACAGAACAGTGGAGAGCATCAAGTTCATCCCATAATAACTTAATTTTAGTGAAGTAGCCTGCGATGTCACTAGTTCCCTGTACTAAATCACTAATCTCTTTTTGCAGATGATAGAGTTTGGCACCATTAGACTGGCCAAATCGATCCTCAAGATCAGCCCAAAGGCTTTCAGCACTCTTTGAATACAGGACACTAGCTGCTGTTTCCTTTGAAAGGGAGTTCAGCAACCAGGATGTCACCATGTCATTACAACGATTCCACAGCCTGAGGTTAGATGAACCAGTAGCAGGTGATTTGCAACTCCCATCTATGAAACCAAGCTTATTCTTGGCAGAGAGTGCAATGAGGAGAGCCCTCTTCCATCCTGCAAAACCATGACCATCAAAGACAGTGTTGACGAGGATCATGCCAGGAGAGTCTGAGGGATGAAGGAAAAATGGATCATTAGAGTCCATAGTTGCAGATCCAGAAGCTACGACTGTAGCAGCAATGGAAGCTTCTTCAGTGCTGGGCATTTTGGATCAAGGGAGAAGAATGAAAGGAGAATGAAGAGGAACGGAATCAAGAATTAACCCAAAAGCTCTGATACCATGTAGAAACTAGAGAGAATATTGAGAAATTTTCCTTATCTTCCTTCATTGTAAGGCAACGTATATATACAACTATTTTGTGCAGAGAAAGAAAATAACAAAACTAAGGAAAAGAGTAACAAACTTTACAGCTGGCTAAACATTATTTGTTCAAGTAACAACAAAGAATAACTAATTTTGTATTCTGTACAAAGAATCCTATGCAGGTGTAGGGCTAGGATTTATGCCAACACTTTCTGATCCAAAGGATGAAATGGTGCCATCTGTTCTTCTAGAAGATATACATCTTCTAGTCTTCATTTCACTTGAATCAGATTCTACCGCCTCTCTATTCAACTTGGAAATCCCTTGTTCTTTATCAATAATGTTGCTGCTAAATCCAACAAGATGTAATGCAGTAGTTCTCCCATGGATTAGTAGCACAGTAGCAAGCAATTTGATGACTGTGATAGTGTATGCATCTAATGCTAAACGTGTATGAGAAGATTTCAAGAAAAGATTCGACAAGTCAAATCTCACTAGGATCTATCAACTTTGGACAGAAGTAGCCACATTGAAGCAAGGTACATATTTAGTGACAAGTTATTATTCGAAATTGAGGGATATTTGGGATGAGTTTGATGTATTAGTACCTTCTCATTCATGTAAATGTGATGAGGCTAAGCCTTATATTGAACATTTGCATCAACAAAGGTTGATGATGTTCCTAATGGGATTAAACGAGTCTTTCAGCCATGTGAGAAGTGATTTGTTGCTGAAAACTGAGGTACCTAGTATCAACCAAGCTTATGCAACTGTAGTTCAGGAAGAAAGCCAAAGGCTATTGGGAGTAATTGATTCAAACAAGGAACCACTCACCATGATGGCAGGAAGAGGACAAGGATTCAAAGGAAAAAAGTCATTGCCAGGTAATGCTCCATGTGAGATTTGTGGTTACAAAAACCATGTGATAGAAAAGTGTTACAGGCTAGTAGGATACCCTCCTGACTTCAAGAGCAAGAGAAGGCAGTCAGGATCAAGTGGATCCTATCAGAACAACATTGATGCTTCCAAATCAACTGGTTCTTACAACAACAATGGCAATTTCAAGCCTTATGCTAACAATACTTCTACAGATAGACACAAGCAGGACTGTGAGTTTACAGAGGAAGAGCATAATCAAGTGAGGAACCTGCTACAAAACAAGGAATCAAATGACTGCAGGGCAAATCTAACAGGTAATGTTTCTGTAAAGACTGAATCATCTGCATATGACTGGATAGTTGATTCAGGAGCTACTCATCTTATGAGGAACTCATGTATGAATTGAAATGCATAAAGAATGACCGCACTAGTACAGTTCAGTTGCCAACATGAAGCAAAGCTCAAGTGAAACAAACATGCAATTCAATCATTTTTGGAAAACTAACAGTGAAGGATGTACTTCATGTCCCTGATTTTAAGTTCAATTTACTCTTAGTGGCAAAACTCACCAAGGAATTATCATGTAGTGTGAGTTTCTTTCCTCACTTTTGTGTGTTGCAGGAACTCTACAGTGGCAAGGTGATTAGGATTGGTAGGGAGATCAATGGCTTATACTTACTACAAAGTGCAGTTAGAACAGCAATTAATAAAGTGACAGCATCAACAAAGGATACAAGTCTGACTGAGCTATGGTACTACAGACTTGGGCATCCATCTGTTAAGACCATGGAACAAATACCCTATCTCATGAAGAATCTCAACATCACAACACATAAAGGCTGTCAAGTATGTCCAGTTGCAAAACAAAGTAGATTGAGTTTCCCTACTAGCACTTCTAAATCATCTCATATTTTCCAACTTATACATGTTGATGTTTGGGGACCTTACAAAGTTCCCACCTATGATAGGAAGCAATATTTTGTGACAATAGTTGAAGACTTCAGCAGATTTACTCTGATTCAACATAAAACAGATATGCACGTTGTATTGAAAGACTTCCTGCTTCTAGTTAATACACAGTTTGGTGTCAAAGTACAAATTGTGAGAACTGATAATGGGACTGAGTTCTTTAACTCTAAATGCAATTTTCTATTTTCTTTTCTTGGAGTAGTTCATCAAAGTTCTTGTGCTTATACTCCCTAACAAAACAGTGTTGTAGAAAGAAAGCATAGGCATATATTAAATGTGGCTAGAGCATTGAGATTTCATAGTGGAGTGCCTATCAGATTTTGGGGCAACTGTGTTAAGACTGCAACCTATCTCATCAATAGAGTGCCTTCTGCTGTTTTATAAGGAAAATCACCATATGAAGTTCTATATAATAAGGAGCCTAAAATAGAGCATGTCAGGGTGTTTGGTTGTTTATGTTTTGTTTCAGTATTGCCAAGGCAGAATAAGTTTGCTCCAAGGGCAAAAAGATCAGTATTCATGGGATACTCAGAGACACAAAAGGGATATAAGGTTATGGATTTGGAAACTCATGTCATTTCTGTGAGCAGTGATGTTACTTTCATGGAGACTACATTCCCTTTCAAGGATACAAGCACAACAACATTATCATCTTCTGATTATCATGATACTATGCAGCTAGACATGTTTGATTATGTGGATCCTGTTGAGAACCTTGCCAGTCCTGTTAATTCAGAAGTTGTTGAGGATTTAGTCAATCCTATAGAGCCAGAAGCTGAGTCTGACCCTATCACCACTATACTCCCAGCTACAGATCTTGAGAGTGTTCCATTTAAGTCATAACCTGATGTTGTCACAATTGAAACTGAACCTCCACCAGCCAGAAGGACTACAAGAGCTTCCAAGCCTCCTCTTTGGCATAAAGACTATTTAGTCCCAACTAAATCTAACATGACTTGCTTATATCCTATTTCTAATAGTTTGTCATATGATCATTTGACACCCTCCTATCACAGCTATATAAAGGCATTCTTGGTTATTGTAGAGCCTACAAATTTCAAGGAAGCCTCCAAACATCCAGAATGGATAGATGCAATACAATTTGAAGTGTCTGCTTTAGAGCAGAACAATACATGGACAGTTGTAGATTTGCCGTTTGGTAAACATCCCATTGGTTCAAAATGGGTGTATAAGGTAACGCTTAGGGCCAATGGAGTGGTGGAGAGGTACAAAGCTAGGTTGGTTGCAAAGGGGTACAGCCAGCAGGAAGAGCTTGATTATCATGAAACCTTCTCTCCAGTGGCCAAGATTGTCACTGTGAGAACTGTGATTAGTATAGCAGCATCACATAATTGGCCTTTATTCCAAATGGATGTTCACAATACTTTCCTTCGAGGTGATCTTACTGAAGATGTTTACATGGAATTGCCTCAAGGTATCAGAGGCAGGAGGAGAACAAAGTCTGTAAACTATTGAAGTCTCTTTATGGCTTGAAACAAGCCTCTAGACAGTAGAATCTTAAGCTGATTGAAGCTTTAGTTAAGGCTGGGTACTCTCAAAGTCCATATGATCATTCATTATTTACAAAGAAGGTTAGGAGTGATATTGCAGCAGTGCTAATCTATGTAGATGATCTTCGCATAACAGGAAATAACAATGCTCTAATCCAAGATCTAAAAGCCACATTACACAGCAACTTTAAGATGAAAGACCTTGGAGACCTACAGTATTTTCTTGGAATTGAGATACTAAGGTCCAAAAGTGTCATAGTCCTCAACTAAAGAAAGTATGCACTAGAGTTGGTTTCAAATTGTGGTCTTAGAGGTTCAAAGCCAGCAAGTACTCCCCTAGAATCAGGTGTCAAGTTGACTACTGTTGACTATGATGAAGCCACTGGCAGGACAGATGATCCTCTATGTACAGATGTCACTGCATATCAAAGACTAATTGGTAGGTTGCTATACTTGACAACTACAAGGCCAGATATAAGCTTTGCAGTACAAGTATTATCTCAGTTCATGCAAAGACCTAAGGTATCTCACTGGGAAATTGCACTAAGATTAGTTAAATACATTAAAGGGTGTCCAGGGCAAGGAATATTATTGAGCAGTGGACCTAGTAATCAGATGGAGGCATTTTGTGACTCGGATTGGGCAGCATGCCCAAACACAAGAAGGTCTGTGACAGGATATGTGATTAAGCTAGGGAACTCACTAATTTCTTGGAAATCTAAGAAGCAACATACAGTCAGCAGGAGTTCAGCTGAAGTTGAGTACATGAGCATGGCTGCAGCAGTATCAGAATTAATCTGGCTACTTGGAGTGCTAAAGGAACTAAATGTAAATGTGGTATCTCATGTAAGATTACATTGTGACAGTAAAGCTGCAATTCAAATTGGAGCTAATCTCATTTTTCATGAGAGGACCAAACATATCGAGATTGTTTGCCACTTTGTGAGGGAAAGAATCAAAAGTGGACTGATACAAACAGAGTACATCAACACAAAGGAACAATTAGCAGATCTTCTCACTAAGGGTCTGGGAACTACTCAACATCATGTATTGTTAGACAAGCTTGGAGTCTTTAATGTTTATAGAGATTTCAGCTTGAGGGGGAGTATTGGAAATTTGGAATCACATGATGAAAGTATGCAAAAAGGTGGTTATGGCAGTTAAGTCTGTTAGCAGTCATAAAGATGGTTAGGCAAGTTGTTAGTTAGTTGTAACCAATTCCATTTCTTAATGTGTGACTTTACAAACTGACATGATTCCTATAAATAGGAAGTGTAAATGAAATCAACGAGTGATCAATAAAAATTCTCCTGCTCCTTCTTCTAGATGCTTCTTCCTTTCACTGTCTCCTTCTCCTTCTTCATTTAGAGTTGCAGAGATCTGCAACAATGGAGCTTAGCTCCATGATTCTATGAAATACAATAAAGTGGTTACCTCAGAAGATTGATGCATGTTTCCTTTTAGAATTCAAGTTACATGTGTAGTGACATTTCTTTATGCCATCAGTGCAATTTAACTTGTTATAGAATATTACTTACCATAAGACCTACAGGTCGGGCCGGGGCTATGTATTCTTTCTTTCTGTGTGGGATGATCTAGGGAAATGTGTCGAGGCGGTGAGCAAGACAAGTCATAGATATGAGTCTCATGCTAAGGTATAAGTATACTTGCAAAGCAATATTTTTCTCTGTTGTCCCAAAATTTAGAACCCTACAAACTCCTAACTCTGACTTCGGCTCTAAAGAATAAAGTCAATTACATTTTGATTTTCCCTCCATCAAAGTTTAAGTCATGTATATTGACATTTATTTACGCTACCAATGCAATTTAACTTGTTATAGAAATAATCGATACTCATTGATTTAATTAAGTCATTTCGAAACCAACCTAAATTCAGAAGTTAAGACATGTATTACTGTTGGTATTGAAAATCTAAAAGTCATAATGCGAAAGTTAATAATAGCAACCCTATCAATTACTTGTGCAGATTAACTTCATACATTTTCAGATTGATACTGAAGTCTTCTTTTTGTTCTATTCCTTTTATACTGTGCTCCATACACTTGGGAAACTTTTTCTCTTTCTCTCTTTTTGTGAGTATTATAAATGTCTGTTTTCTATTTTCTCAATTCATCTTTATTTATCCAGTATATTAAAAATAGTTATTTATTTAATTTAAAAGATCAAGAGATAATTTATTATTTTATGTCTATTTTCTCTTTATTATTAAATATTATTCATTTCCCAATATTCTTTATTTATCCAATATATTAAAAATAGTTATTTAATTTTAAGTTATTTATTTAATTTAAAAGATCAAGAGATAATTTATTATTGTGTATATTTTCTCTTTGTTATTAAATATTATTCATTCCCCATTATTTAAATGACTTATAATTAATAAGAATGATATAATTAAATGGGTAATGCTAAATGACCAGAAAATTTGGCCAGAAATTTAAAAAATCTATAATATCTTTTTATTTAAAAATAAACTGATCTTTTTTTCCATTTTTAATTAAAAGGTATTAAAGTTAAAAGGGTAAAAATGTTCAAAAAGATAAAATAACATAGTGTGAAAATATATTATTTTATCATTCTGGCCAAATTCTGACCAAATTTTCTGGTCAAAATTTTTTTTCCTAATTAAATTACCATTTTTTTTATTCTTTCTTCCGGGTGCATCAAATAAAAAACAACATTTAAAAAGAAAACAGGAATTGCTTTCCCTTCCAAAAGGTGATGTTGAGTTCTTTACTTGGCTAATTTCCAAAGAATAAAATATAACAATCAATAGGAGACAATGCAAAATATAAGTTAAAAGATAAAATTTCTTAGGAGACTTGATTTGTCACAACAATAAATAAAGGATTTTTTGGTTATTATTTAGCTGCAATAATATAATTATTTTTATATTATATTTATCGATAATAATATAATATTGATATTTATAATCAACACTCTATATAGATCTCGTTAAAGGTTAGCGATTATATAGAAAATTTTATTGTTACTAAATCTTTCAAATTGATCCAGTTATCTTATCCTCTGTAACTTTTTCTTTTCTTTTCTTGTGGTGGGGTGGGATTAAAACTTGGAATGTACTCTATTAATATGATTCTAGCGTTAATATGGTACAACTGAGCATCCAAGAAGCTCTTATATAAAAAGAAAAGGGATTAGAAATAAATCCTCTTAAATACTTCAAGATTTCATTAGAGGATTATTCTTTTCTCACACAACCAACAAATTATAAGCATCTTGCTTTTTTAAAATAAAAAAGCTAAGTATTATATATCCATTGAAAATAAAACACATGGCCCCTCATTATTCCATAGTTATCCACATATTTACCCTCTGTTTATCTTCCTTCTCAAGCGTCTTTGTCAATTTCATATTCCATTGCCTTCGGGATCAATGCAAGTCACACATGAACTTATTTAACTAACATGTTAGAAAATTCAAAAGTCTATAATTATTCATTGTTATTATCTTGATACCTAAAAATAATTTAATTTGATCTATTTTCAATTTGACATCATAAATATCTTAATTTTATCTCTATAGAATACTCTTTATATTTGATTCCATCGATAAATCTCACACATGGGAAGTGGGAACCCAATTCTTGAGGCCCCAAATTCCACAACTCAAAGAATTTGTCTTCAAAGCCTGCAAATGGCAAGAAGCCCCTTTTATAAATAGCCCAAAAACCTCATTCATTTTATTGCATTCACCAACAGATTAAAAACTATTGAGATATTTATCAGTCCATTTATTAGTTAATAGTTAGTCCACGTCATTGTATACTGTTAGTTAGTTACAATCAGTTAGAAGTTTGTTAGAGATTGTTAGCAGTAGTTTTTCAGTTAGTTCTATAAATAGTTTAGCTCATAGTTGTAATCTCAGATTGTTCAGTTCAATACAGAGAGATTTGTTCTCCTATTCTTCATATGCTTCTCCAATGGAGATTGCACAGTTTCACCATTCTAGGTGAATTCCTTACTCTCTAACCCATCAATTTGACATGGTATCAGAGCAAGGTTGCTCTCATTAGATCATTAGATCTTATTTTTTTTCAATTCGATTCCATCGATTTCTCCGATAGCGGTTACCTCGTGTTCATCGCAAATCTGCAATTGAGGATTTTCTGCATCTGTAGTCCCTTGATTCAACTTTTCTGTATTTGATTCACCATGGTGGAAGCCACAGATCCCAACACCAGCTCATCAGGAAGTAATACAATCGATGTAAGTAGTCCTCTGTACATTCATCCATCTGATAGTCCAAGTATTCTTCTCGTCCAGTCTGTGTTCGAAGGAGTAGGTTATAGGTCATGGAGAAGAGGTGTGATAAGGTCCCTTTCTGTGAAGAACAAGCTAGTTTTCATAACTGGGGAATGTAGGAGACCAGCTCTCAATTCACCCCAATATCGCCAATGGGAAAGGTGTGATAATATGGTTACATCATGGATACTTAATTCCCTTGGAAAAGAAATTGCAGACAGTGTCGAATATGTCTGTGACTCTTTGGAACTGTGGAAAGAGCTAGAAGATCGCTACGATCAAACGAATGGAGCCAAATTGTTTCAGATCCAGAAAGAAATTAATGATCTAAGTCAGGGTGCTCTGGATATTACTGTATACTACACCAGGATGAAGAAATTGTGGGAAGAGCTGAATAATTTGAATGTCAAAGATCAGTGCAGTTGTGTGTGCAATTGTGGAGGAAAAGACAATATGCACAAGGCAGAACAAAATAGAAGACTCATCCAATTTCTCATGGGGTTGAATGAAATTTATACTGTAATCAGAGGAAATATACTGATGATGAACCCCCTACCATCTATGGCTCAAGCTTTTGCTTTGCTAGTTCAGGAGGAAAAACAAAGAGAGATCAAACCTAACAATCAAATGTTCATGGAGGCAAGCTCAATGAATTCATCTGTGCATGTCAGTTCTTCAGGAGCATCA